GTGGGTCGCCAGGTATGGATCACCAGATAGCAATCACCAGATATGGAAATCACCAGATATGGATCACCAAACATGGATATCACCGGATATGGATCACCAGGTATGGATCATCAGATATGGCATCACCAGATATATGGATCACCAAATGCGAATGATGACCAGATGTGATTCACCAGGTATGGATCACCACATATGGATCACCAGATGTGGATCACCAAATCAGGATCAACAAATATCGATCACCAGGCATATGAATCACCAGATGTGGATCACCAGATATGGGTCAGCAGGTATGGATCACCAGATATGGATCACCACATATGGACCACCAGATGTGGATCACCAGATATGGGTCAGCAGGTATGGATCACCAGATATGGATCACCACATATGGACCACCAGATATGGATCACCAGATGTGGACCACAAGATATGGATCACCAAAATTGGTTCACCAGATATGGGTCACCAGATGTGGATCACAGATATGGATCACCAGATGTGGACCACCAGATATGGATCACCAGATCAGGATCACCAAATGTGGATCAGGTATATGGATCACCAGATGTGGATCACCAGATATGGAGCACCAGATATGGATCAGCAGATGTGGATCACCAGATATGGATCACCAGATGTGGATCACCAGGTATGGATCACCAGATATGGATACCACCAGATACGGATCACCAGGGATGGGTCACCAGATATGGGTCACCAGATGGACCACCAGATATGGGTCAGCAGGTATGGACCAGATATGGGTCACCAGATGATGGGTCACCAGATATGGATCCCAGATATGGATCACCAGATGCGGTTCACCAGGTATGGATTACCAGAGATGGACCACCAGGTTTGGATCCCAGATATGGATCACCAGATGTGGACCACCAGATATGGATAACCAGATGAGGATCACTAGATATGGATCACCAGATATGGATCACCAGATGTGGATCACCAGATATGGATCGCCAGATATGGATTACCTGATGTGGGTCAGCAGATGTGGATCAGCAGATATGGATCACCAGATGTGGATCACCAGGTATGGACCGCCAGAAATGGATCACCAGATATGGATCACCAGACCAGATATCAATCACCAGATATGGATCACCAGATGTGGATCACCAGATATGGATCACCAATCATGGATCACCAGATATGGACCACCAGACCAGATATCAATCACCAGATATGGATCAGCAGATTTGGATCACCAGGTATATGGATCACCAGATGTGGATCACCAGATATGGGAAAGCAGGTATGGATCACCAGATATGGACCACCAAATATGGACCAGCAGATATGGATCACCAGATGTGGATCACAAGATATGGATCACCAGATATGGGTCACCAGGTGCGGTTCACCAGATATGGATCACCAGGTATGGATCACCAGATATGGATCACCAGATATGGGTCAGCAGGTATGGATCACCAGATGTGGGTCACAAGATATGGATCACCAGATATGGATCACCAGATGTGGTTCACAAGATATGGATCACCAGATATGGATCACCAGATGTGGTTAACCAGATATGGACCACCACATATGGACCACCAGATATGGATCACAAGATGTGGATCACAAGATATGGATCACCAGATATGGACCACCAGATGTGGTTCACCAGATATGGATCACCAGATATGGATTCTCAGATGCGTTTGAGCAGATATGGATCACCAAATATCTGCAATCCTAGGCGAGTTCAGCTGCTCCTCAGGCGAGCGCAAGGTGTCCACCGTGTCACGGTAGAGTTTTGACCCGCTCCTGTTCGCTAGAAGCATCCCCAAACTCACATGGAACCTGGTGTAGCTGGTGCAGGAACATCCGCCAGCAAAAAACATCCAAAAACATCTCCAAATCTTCTGTGGCCTTGCTTAATTAGTGCAAGTATCTCCCAAATTTCCGGAAATGGTCATCCCACCATTCACATCCCCAAAACAGATCAAAACAGTTCATCACTTCCCACGCCTTGCGCAGCAGCCAGTGGCTTGGAGCCAGGGTTTCAGAGGCCGTCTCAGCGATGGCCACCAGTTCATCTGGGCTCGACAGCGGCTCCTCCTTTGACAGCTTCCTGAGAATTTCCGAAAGGATCGGCGTTTCATCATACCTGTGACCTTTGGTCAGCTTAGGAATGTAGTGTCACATGTGGCCCCTTTGTCATGCAGCAGGTAGAAGAACATCATAGAACGTCCAACCACATGTGTTCGACGTGTTTCAACATGTTTCAACCAACTTTCCAAGCCACGTCAGGAAGTCAGCAAAGCTCGACACCTTAGTGTCCAACACCCATCCAGTCACTGAAACACATGGAATCCTCAAAAAATGGGCTTCAAACATCAAGCGTATGCAACTTGATAGATGAGGCTCTGCGTGTAGCAGGGCGTGTTCACTGGCAAAAGCCGTTCACACACACAGAGCGCGCTCTAAAACTGGCATGTCTTGGGTTGGAGGAAAATCGGGACCGGCCATGCATCCTCGCACATGGATCTTCAGGGAGCGACGGCGATGTCATCCGCCAGCAGTTGGTGGTCAAATGCACTTCCGAAAGGGCTTCATGTGGAATAGCTAGCTCAAATAGCACAAAAACAACGTACCCGAAAGGTAAGCGGGAAACACTCCGAAGTGTGGTTCAATAAGTTGTGAAAAAAACAAATGCAAATTACACCGGATAGACGCCAAATAGCGGGCGCGTAGGATTCAAGGACGCGCCACGGACGACTGTCATCGCAGCACGCCGCATCAGACCAGTCCAGAATGTAGAAGGTGTGCTTCACTCGACCAAGACTCGCTGCGCTATGACCCCAAATTGTGCTAGGGTACAGTACAAGACCCCGTGTCCCTTTTGTGTTCAACGCACTGATACATGAGCTCGGAACATGATACACATGATTTTTTGTGATCGAGTTGAACTCCCACAGCACTCGGTAGAAGAAGAAGAACTAATGCTATTTTTTGACTTCTCATCGAATTGACTTGAGGCCAGAAAGGGTGAACGAAAGCTAGCCGGGCTTCCGGTGGTCTGCTGCTGGTGCTGCTGCTGCTGGTGCTGCTGCTGCCGCTGCTGCGCTGGGCGCTGCTGCGCTGGGTGCTCTGCAGGCGCCGGGTCGTCTGCTGCTGCTGCTGCTGCTGGCGCTGGGTGGTCTGCTGCGGCTGCTGCTGCCGCAGCGTTGGGTATGCTGCTGCTGCTGCTGCCGCTGCTGCGCTGGGCGCTGCAGATGCTTGGTGTGCTGCAGCTGCTTGGTGGTCCCGCTCACCGCGCGCAGGGGGGAGTCGAACCGCGGGGGGGGGTCCATAAGATTGATTTAATCAATTATTTGAGGTTTCTGAGGTGCGTCCACCCCGTCACTTAACTTGCTAAAGCAAGAGCAACTCCAGCTAGCTAAGGCTAGCTTTCGTGATTTGTCCACATTTCCCGCAAGTGTAGAGCATTTACTATTTTTCAGTTCCTTTGCGTGCCATTCCTTGCATGTGGCAGGTTGGAAGACCGCCTCCTCGACTGACCGTGGCGCCCACCTTGAGAACTCTACGTGCAGAGCACTATATCGAATTATCTCGAAACGGGGTGTGGAAATATGTAAACCTGAGGACTATGTTCTATGTCGAGATAATTCACTACCAGTGAACCAGGTGAGTGTAGAGGACCACCTGGGTAAACACGTTCTTTCTTCCTGACGTCAGGTACCATGAATTCGACGCCATTCGATGCATTTCGTTGCCGATGCAGCCGTATCCTTCGAGCTTTCATTGCCTCATGGCTCAAGGCCATGACGTCATGTAGAAAGAAGAAGAAGGTCCGAGCGTTCTGGAGGGTGGGAGATGGATCCAACTTTTTTCCCACTATGTGAGATCATTGAGGCATATGGGCCCCAAGGATTCCCTTCTTTTTGGGGTCATATGCTTCGCACTCTTGGGTTGGAGGCCATCGCTCTTAGGTTGGAGGCCATCGCTATTAGTAACTGAAAAAGAAGATGGTTCATCTTGTTACTCAGCTTGTTCGCAAAGCCTGCATGCTGCTGACCTGGTCTAGCCATCCAGCCAAGCCACGTGCATCTCCTCGCAGGGTTCCCCGCCGGTTCCTGGCCGAAGAAGCCGAGCACCGGTGGCAAAATTCACCGAACGGGGCCGGGTGGTTGGGCATTTGGCATGCGTGATAACTAGTTATATTCATATAATTTCATATACATCGGCGCTTTGGCATTGCAGCGGTTTCCTTGCCAGAACCATCTGCCGGCAGAAGCCCTAACAGTGGAATTGCAAAATGTCTCCAGAAGGTCTTGACTGAAAGCAACAGTCGTACATCAAGCGCCCAGCATTTTGCTGTTCTCGGCCATTCTCCTATTGTCCATTTATGGGAAATCCTAAGGCGTCACCATGTTTCGCTGCTTCAGCCCAGGTAACTTTGCGCGTTTTTTCTTTTCTTATCTGGTTTGATCTGTACATGGAGGCAGTGCCGGTCGGCACTCGAGCAGGGTAGCTGGTGGAAGGCCGGGGATCGGCTCCAAACGAGGCACAGAAGAGTTGCATGAGCATTTACATGGAACATCATGGAACCCTCACCTGTGTTCTTTGTCAATGGTTGCGTTCCAAATGGTTTCTAGGATTCCTCACCCTATTCCAAAACACAGCTGTTTTGGACTTGGACGTGCTTAGCAATTCGATGGCCTCACGTCTAGTCTAGCCTGAAAAGAGGGACGCACACGGAAACATGGCGGATACATGAATTAGGGTGGAGACATGGAGTCCGTGGGTTCATTCGTCTCACCGCCTGATCGTGAAGAAACTGACCCACCAGCTGTGAGCTGCACAGGAACAAACAACAGAATCCGAACCAAATCCGTCATCATCAGCATCGGATCAGTGCAAACAAAACCTGACAGTCCCCCAAACGGTCCCTGAAAAAACCTCTCGCCCTACGTGCCCGCTGCCACTGCCCAAAACCGAACCAAGCACAGTGCTTCCGCTGACGGAAGGAAAGCTCTTTGTTCCAACCGAGGAATGGCCTCACGCGCGGCACGAAGCCGTAATGAATTCTGTCTCCTGGCGAAGCACCTAGTCACATCTAGTCACGCGTCACGAGCTTGTGGAAAATGCAACAGGATGTAGGGAAAAGAGCAAACACGCGAAACCAACATGTCAACATGTCCCACCCTCCCTCCAAGCATCATGGAATTGGATGGCGCATGATGGCACCCTTTTGTTGGATGGAGGGTAACAGTCGGTGAAGAGCCATTTTGATGTACCTCTCTCTCCCTCTCACTCTCACCCTCCCTTGAGGGATCCCTCTAAGCCCGATGGTGCCGTAGTAGTTCTGCCGAAACTCGGCGAGCTTGTAGGACAAGGAGTTGATGACCATTTTAGACTACCACCTTCATGATCCTGCACCTCTCACATCTGCCCAGGAGAATTACAGTAAACTCACGCTGAGGGTCACTCACTGACCCAGCGTTGTCCGGCGAACAGTGCAGTTTTTGGGACATGGCCGACCCTCAAACGGCCACGTCCTGCATTGCCAGTAGGGGCGAAAAAATCGGTTCAAGCCGAACATTTATAGCCGAACGTAGCCCGTAAATAGGCTTACAGCGGCTTCAGGGCGTGCAGCAACATTCCATCTCCGTCATACTCCAGGCAAGCTCTATTTGCTGCCAAGGGAATGAAACAATCAAAAGAGTGCGTGTGCCAAAACCAGAACCATGAACAAGCATTACAAATGATGTGGCTTGATTAGTGAATGTATCGAATTAGACGGAACAATCTTTTTTATTATATACAGATACGTGACTACATTGAACGTGACTGGATTTACTCCTCTCAAAGGGAGGTGATTTTTGGTCCCATCGAAAGAACCGTGTCGCTTTCAGGAGATGTTTCTGGTGGGCGAGCCCCAGCAGCTCGCCCACACCATCCTAGGCGCCTAGGGAGTCCAGTGGCCCAAACCACCGAATCTGCAGGTCGGTGAGAAAACGAGCTAGTCACCCAGCCCCAGTGGTTCCGTCCCACTGCTAGCATGCTAGCTGTGGATCCCTCCCACCCAATTGATCTTCTTTTGGAGTCTGACATTGCAGCGATGAAGCCCCTGAGAAAATGACACGTTTTGGCTGTTCGCTGGTCCGAATTCCTCCTGTTGCATCCTCAGATGGGCAACTGGACTCCCGAGGAAGTGCTTATAACCCTATGCATGTACATTGTGTGCTGAATACGGGAGGTTCCAACATGGAGCGTCCAGGACTTAGGCGACATGGAGTGTCAGAATACGCATGGTTTTTAAAACCGACCGCCCATAGAATCCCATAGAAGATTACATTTCAACACAAAATTGAACAGTCCTTTGAATTAGGGCTAAGAGTTAAGAGAGCGCAGTATGGGTCATGGTGAGCGCTCATGCTCGTCCAACTTGACTTCTTCCAACCTTTCGACCGATTGATCGTCCTTCGACCCGCTGTCTACCACTGCACGTGCCGCCACGTGCGCCTGACGTGCCTGGGCTAAACCCCCCTTGCCGTCGCATCGTCGATCAGCACTTCATAGACATCGCCGTCGCTTCGCGGCGCGTCACTTCGCGCGAAGCAACGCGTGGCTCGGTGGAGCGCCACAGCGAGGGCTGAGAGGAGGGGCACCAGAGCGATCAAGAGATAGAACCTGAGAAATGGTTTCCCCAGGCTGGAAGGATCACGTCCAAAGATTATTCTTGTACTTTTCATTGCTTTTCTTAACCCTCATAGGCCCTATAAGTACTTTATTCTTGTGATGGATGCTCCACATCCTGTGATCGGCAAACAGGTGGCCTCCTGGGTTCCCGTTGTGCTCGCAAACATGCATGGGATATTATGGAACCATATCCAGACCGACCAGGAAAGTACTCGTGTGAGCCTATGCTGTAGCCTGCGCACAACTACCAAGACTAAAGCAACACGATCTTGAAGACCAAGACCGGTCCCCATCTTTTTACACCCTTTTGAACAGTGGGTGCGGCGCCATTTTTACCTGTTTTCCACGCGCCGAAAGACCGGTGTTTTCCTATCCTCCCGGCGGCGCCGGAGGATTGCCAACGGTTGCGAATTTATTTCTGTTTTTTTTGTTTTTTTCGTGTTTCGTGGCAGGTGCAGTACTTTGTGGACCTTGCAAAG